TATATTCTATTTCAATCTGATTTGGTCTTAACAGAGTTAAGGATAAGAGTCCTTGGGCTGTACTTCTAACTTAAATATTTTGGGTAAATATCTTTGGTATTCAACTAAAATACCACAACAAACTGTATATTAAGATCAAGTTTGATTTCAGTAAGCCAAGTGACAAAATTTCTTGTGGCATAGTTGTAGGTGAAAGACAAAAACGTGGTCTGAATGATAAAAGTGTTAGGTAAATTAACATTTGAATAAACTGATATCAAAGATATCAAGTAATCAACCAGTGTTAACTTGGAAAATATTCTCTAGCAGAATAACTTGAGACTCTATCCTTAACACTTTCTGACCCAACATAGTGAACAAAGACATTAATGTTCTTAAGTTCTCTTTATCAAATATTCAAATGCCCAAATCTAGGGAAGAAATCTAACATGGTGGATTCCAGTTGAAATTAAAAATTATCTTGACTAGCTAATACATGCAGGGTAATCCACTGATGTTAATTTAATCAATCACACAAAGGATTGAAAGTTCGTGTGAAAGAAATAAATTTTCAGTTAGCTGCTAAAATAAATATAATATTGGATAATTATTATGTATAAATATAATATCAATCAACATTTCCAAAAATGTGTTTGTGGAATCTTAGTAAGTACCTAATGAAAAAATGGTAATTGAAAATTACTGGGTTTAAAAATTAATCAGTTTTCTTACTGCAATACTTCTCAGACCCTTTAATGAACAGTGAAAAACTTTTTGCTGTGGAGCATTTGAGTGACTGGTGTTTCAGGAAAACTTGTGAAAACTTGTGATCAGGGAATGCACTATAATACATTCCTGAACTCAACCCCAGAATAAGGCAAGGGAATAACAGCAACAACAATGACTTTAAGGACTGAAGTTGGGATTTCCTCCTATGAATTTAACTATTTCCTATCTCTGCTTCCTTCTTGGCTTCCTTTCACAGACAGGTCCTCTCCATATTATAGGTAAGATAGCCACCAGTAGCCTCATATTCAAATCCTCCTGTGTAACCACAGTAGAAAGAAGCTTCTTTAATCTGGAATCAAATTGTAAATTCCAGGGAAGGACTCTGGATAACATGACAAACTCCTGGACCAATTGATGTTATCTGTGAGGTAGAATATGTTGATTATCTAGGCTTTAGTGAGAGGTCTATACCTGAGGCAGAGAACCCTTGGTACCATAAATGACAGTTCTATAAGATACACATGGAATGGAGAAGACATTATTTAAAAAACATTATTAGAGAAACTAAAACAATATACTTCTATAAGACTTCCATGTTACATGCAATAAATAGTGGAATATTTAAAATAATTTTGACAGTTATACATGTAATACAGATTTAATGAAGAAAAAATGGAAAATAGAGGAAAAAAGAATAAAGGAGAGTTCAGAAGTAGCTTTAATCTTTTCAATCAACAGAACCACTATTAATATTTAGGGAGTTCAATTACAGTGATAAAGAATTTTATAAGCCAGGTTTGGTTTCTACTCTGGTTTCACCAAGTGTTATGTAGCTATGTGACTTTAGGTAAGCTTGTTAATCTCTCTGCATTTCAATTTCTTCTCTGCTCCATAGGAATAAAAATATTGTCTGTGGTTGTTGTGACGATTACATAAATAATTTAAAGATCCTAGCCCTGTATTTGGTTTATATTAAGTACTAAATATATGGCAGTTTGTTAGTTATTTTTACTGTTGTTATTTGGACATATTTCTTATGTTTCTTTATAATCTTTGCATGTGATTGCTCAAAAAAAAAAAAAAAAAGAAAAAAGCCACTTTCACTAGGAAATTTATAATGGCAGAGATTGCCAGGCACCAATTCTGACAATGACAGAATATCTATACATTTCCTATACAATGTTTCATTAAGTAAAACTACTTGAGTCCATCAAGATGAACTAACTACAAATATATATCCCCAGGTAGATGGGTGATTTTTTTATTTGTTTTTAACAATATAACATTTTGACATCGGATATCTTTTTTTTTTAATTCCAGTATGGTTAACATATGGTGTTATATCAGGTGTACAATATAGAGATTCAACAATTCCATACATCATCCAGTGCTCATCACAATAAGTGCACTCCTTAATCTCCATCACCTATTTCACCCATCCCCCCACTCACCTCCCCTCTGGTTACCATCAGTGTGTTCTCTAAAATTAAGAGTCCTTCTTGATTTCTCTCTCTTTCCCTTTGCTCATTTGCTTTGTTTCTTAAATTCCACATATGAATGAAATCATATGGTATTTGTCTTTCTCTGACTGACTTATTTTGCTTATCATTATACTTTCTAGCTCCATCCTATCTTATATTATTACAATAAAAGATACTTTGTGTTTTTATCTTGGTCATGGATTTATTCTGTTTACCTCAAAAGGAGATCCAGGTAATGTTCCCTCCCTTTCTCCCCCTTCCACCACCCCACACACAATACAGAAGGGCAAAGGGTACACTCGTATTTCACATATGTTAAAACTTGGGCTTCATCTTTAAGAACACCCCTTATGTAGTCTAATTCTAGGTCGTATGATTCAGGAATCAGGATATATGACTACATCTAGAACAGAACTAAGATTAAAAGTCAAAATTACAAGGATTCAGGTTTGGTCAAAAATAATACATATATTATGGCAATTTCAAAATGACCAACATGAATAGGTTGCTTCAATGTAAGCTTTTCACACTGATAGTGTTAAGTAGAGGATTTCTTTACCAGGCTGTTAAACTAAACACAACATAAATTTCTCATTCCAATATATTTTTTAAAGATTTTATTTATTTGACAGAGAGAGAGACAGCAAGAGAGGGAACACAAGCAGGAGGAGCATGAGAGAGAGAAGCAGGCTTCCTGCCGAGCAGGGAGCCCGAGGCAATGCAGGGCTCCATCCCAGAACCCTGAGATCATGACCTGAGCCGAAGGCAGACGCTTAATGGCTGAGTCACCCAAATGCCCCTCATTTCAATACTTCTAAAGAAAAATTACATGGTACCATCTTTTCAATCTCAACTTCAGGCCCCGACATTCTGTAGCATTGTGCTTCAAAAACTTAACTTTGGTACAAAGTTATGCAAAGTCAGAATATAAATAAGATGCATCTTACTGTAACATCAATTGCACCCAAAAAACTCACTTGAATCTTCATCAGGGTGAAGGGAGCCTGCTTCTCCCTCACCTGCTTCCCCTGCTTGTGCTCTCTCTCTGTCAAATAAATAAAAAAATCTTTTCAAAAAAAGCCTGATGGATTATTTTAAAAAAAGAATTTTTAATTTTTATTTAAACAAATACATATTATGGACTAGCATACAAAATCATGTGAAGTTTTAAAAGGACACAAAAGATTCAAGAAAATGATGAATTTGTTGTAAGCTGTTTTGGACTAGTTTCCCTCTAGGAACTCCTATAGATTGTGTATTCATTTCTCTGTTATTAGGTGTGCTTGAGAGAGAAAATTTATAAACTATGTAAGGTCTTGGTTCTAGAGGCAATTTATTTTTGTTAATTCTCTTACATCTATCTATCTATCATCTATCTATCATCTATCTAAGTATAGTTGACACACCATGTTACATTAGTTTTAGGTGAACAAATTAGTGATTTGACAAGTTTATACATTATGCTATGGTCACCACAAATGTAGCTACAATCTGTCCTGTGACATCACTGTTATAATATCATTGATTATATTCTTTATGCTCTGCTTTTTATTCCCGTGACTTATTCATTCCATAACAAGAGGTCTGTATCTCCCTTTCCCCTTCACCCATTTTGCCCACCCCCCTTCAACCATCTCTTTGTTCTCTGCTTATAGTTCTGATTCTGCTTTTTGTTTATTCATTTTTTTAGATTCCATTTATGAGTGGAATAAAATGGTATTTTTCTTTCTCAGTCTGACTTACTTCACTTAGCATAATATCCTCTAGGCCCATCCATATTGTCTCAAATGGCATGATGTCATCTTTTTTTAATGGCTGTGTGCTATTCCATTGTGTGAATATGTGTGTATGTGTGCATTTTCCTTATCCACTCATCTATTGATGGACACTTAGGTTGCTTCCATGTCTTAGCTATTGTTATTAATGCTGCAATAAATATTAGTGGTATATATACCTTTGCAAGTAAGTATTTTTGATTTCCCTGGATAAATGTTCAATGGCAGAATTATTAGATCATATGGCATTTTTATTTTAAATTTTTTGAGGAATTCCACTGTTTTCCACAGTAGCTGTACTAATTTATATTCCCACCAACAGTGCATGAAGGCACCTTTTTCTTCACATCCTTGCCAACACTTGTTTCTTGTCTTCTTGATTTTAGTCATTATTTTTAGAGACAATTTGAACCCATAATGAATATAGTGCTGAGAAAAATTAGTGAAAGATATAGACCTGGTCTTCAGCAAAAAGACAATCAACTTAAAAATAGTACATGTTCATTAATTTTGAAAGTTGCTTGATTTTCCCTATCAAAAATGACGTTTTGTCTTATGATTTAAGCTAATTAAGGAAAATAAAATATAATACTTTTATCATTTGTCTTTCTATGAAAAACAATACTTCCAATAAGGGATTAAGTTTGCCATCAAAGGTTGTAAAGCACTTCAACTTACACATCTGTTTTACAAACAAAACAAAACAAAAACATTAAAAACAGACAAAAAACACCCCAGTTATCACAAATAGCATAGACTATATATGTCAGGTTCTCTTAAATTTAACTGATTGATTCTTAGGTATATATATATATTTTTTTGAGAAGGAGCATGCTTTATTGGGGAGAGAGCACTGCATTTGACCAACAGATGAAGGCAGTCTGGTGCACATCCAACACATCACTCTCAGAAAGTTACACAGGAGGTTTTGATAAGAGAAATCAACTGGATCATGAGTTCCTCTGGGCAGCTTCCCCAAACTCAGCCCTCCAAGAGGTCAAGACACTCCCAGTCATTTCCTTGAAGGCAACTGTGGTCAGCTAGAAATAGAGCCCACCAGGGTGCCTTCTTGGTTTTGATAAAGAACATTTTCTTTAGATTTTTTGGTTTTCATTTGTTACTTTTATTCTGTGTTCTCTCAAGGCCATCAGACCAACTTCTGTACTGATTGTCTTGATGTCAGTATCAGAGAAGTCATCTTTAGCCGTGATCAAGTCGTGCAAGGTTACATAATTGGTCAGCATTATCCTGCTTATGTGGATCTGAAAGAAGTGCTTCTTAGTCTTTTCATCAGGGGGAAATGGATCTTCTGTAAATGCGGCCTGCTCTGATAAGTGCTGGATCCAAAGTTTGTATTCAATTTGTGGCCATGATAACTTTCACATCACTCCTTGAATCAAATCCATTCAACTGGTTCAACACATCCAATATTGTTCACTGAATTTCTCTCTCATCACCAGACTTTGAGTCATATCTTTTTGCTCCAGTGGCATCAATTTTATCAAAACATGATGGATGGTGCATGTTCTTCAGCAACTCAAAACAATTCTTTTTTTTTTAAATTTTATTATGTTATGTTAGTCACTATACAATACATAATTAGTTTTTGATGTGGTGATCCACGATCGATTGTTTTCGTATAACGCCCAGAGCTCCATGCTGTACGTGCCCTCCTTAATACCCATCACCAGGCTAACACATCCCCCCTCCCCCTTCCCCTCTAAAACCCTGTTTGTTTCTGAGTCCATAGTCTCTTATGGTTCATCTCTCCCTCTGATTCCCCCCCTTCATTTTTCCCTTCCTTCTCCTAATATCCTCCATGCTATTCCTTATGTTCTACAAATAAGTGAAACCATATGATAATTGACATTCTCTGCTTGACTTATTTCACTTAGCAAGATCTCCTCCAGTCCCATCCATGTTGATGTAAAAGTTGGGTATTCTTCCTTTCTGATGGCTGAGTAATATTCCATTG